AGTGGCGCCATACTAGCAGCACAACATGGCTCCCGGAGAATATCCGGGGATCTGATCTCTGCAGCCTGGAGAGCGGCTGTACTTTCTGGAGCCCCACCCACACGTCACTTAGCTTGGTGAGCTGAAGGGTTGGTTTTTTATATATTTTAACCATTCAATAGAAATATCTTATTCCCGGCTCTAAGAATTTTCTTCACAAGACCAGCCCTACTAGATCAGCTGAAAAAAAAGCACACCTAGACCTTGTATCATTTTGTTTTTAACAGCAGCTCATCAGATGTAGGGTTGCTGACATTCAGGTGATGGGTGGAGATCTGCGATCACAAATTATCCTCAAGTGACAGAGATCAGCTGACCTGGAGAAAATGGCAGCTTTGGAAGGTGGACCATATGGCATTATAGCCCACTGAAGTTCCTCCCCTCCCCAAACCCCGCCCTACTTAGGCTCCGCCCACAAAATCTCCAGGCAGGGCTATTTTTGGGCAGGAACGCACAGGAACGGAGTTCCGGCTGGCTCCCGAGTTGGCCACACCCAGCAGGAGCTCATTAGCATAAGAGCCACGCCCAACAGCAGGAACTCATTAGGATTGGCCACAGTAGGTGTGTGTGGCCTAACATGCAAAGGAGTCCCTGCTACAAAAAAAGGCCCTGGGTTTTGACAACAAACAAGGTAAACAGAATAACAAGCAAAAGGTGGGTGTGGCTGGATGACCACACTTCTGGCAACACGGGGCTGCGGCCTAATATGCTAATGAGCTGTGGTGTCAGGGGTGTGGCCTAATATGCTAATGAGTTTCTGCTGTTGGGTGTGGCCTATTATGCTAATGAGTTCCTGCTGGGCTTTTTTTTACAAAAAGAGCCCTGTCTCCAGGTATTTCTTAATTTGGAGCTGGCAACCCTAGTCAGATGTCTTTCTTTGGTGACGGGTTCAAGGTTGTTCACATCAGGAGTTAACCAGTCTGGGGAAGGGGGGGGGGAGAGCATCCAAGATTACGTGAAACAGAAACTCGCCACAGCCTTCCATTTGACCTGGAGGCCCTGAGCCTGCTTAGAGCCGCCCTGGTTCCTGCTTAGGCCGGGAGGGCAGGGTACAAATCTGAAGAAATAAATAAATAAAGACATCCATGCTGTGATAAATACAGGTACTTAAATACTCCTCCCTCCCCATCTCCTCCTCCAGCACTGGCTTTTTTTTTTTGCCCTTATATGCAGGGCCAGTGCCAGCCCTTTTTGTGCCCCTGGCAAGGCTTCTCCTTGCGCTCCCCCGCTGCTAACCAATTTTTAAAAACAGATGAATTGTAGGAAAAATGAAAAGCACAAAACTTGGGATTGCCAATTTTTTTAAAAAATGGCAAGAATAAGTAATACGACAATCTTTGGTTTTCTTTCTCAATCAGAAAACAGTTTTAGCACAGAAAGCGCAAACCATTTTGAATAATCCCGTGAATTGTGATGTTAGAATTTAAGTCTCTTGAATGTTTCCATTTCAGACACCTCAAAATCTCATTCTGCGTGCCTTTCCCTTTAAAAATTTTGTCACCAATTCCTCCAGGTCAAGTGCTGATGCTTCAGCGTGTTCAACTCATATAGTTGCCAAACCAAGTAGTCTCTTTTGCAGCACTGTTGACCGTATGTAGACTTGTGTAAGTCTGAGCTTTGAGAAACTATGTTCACCACTTGCCACTGACACTGGAAGTGTGAGAAGGATCCTTAGAGCAACAGGCACACTATCCAGGAGTTTTTGTTGCAGTATAAAGAGAAGCATTCATTGTGGTGGCATAGACTTTGGAAGTCTTTGAGCTATTGCTGTAAGTTCACAACACAGATCTTCAGCATCAATATCTTTTGTTTCCATCACGCATCAGTTACTTTTCCAAATTCTTGCAGGCATTAAGTACATCTTCAGTAAAAATTTTGTTGATACTGTATATATCAACATACAGTATCAGACCCTGAGTCCAGGAAACGGTTGTGCCTGCAAAGCGCCCCACTGATGGGCACGGGGACATGGCTGCACTCTACTGTGTGGAAGTGCTTGCACATCTCGCCCAGTGATCCCTGCATGGTGGAGTGTCATGTGTGTGGGGCATGTGTTCATAGAGGGAGGGACCCACATCACTTAGCCACCAGCGTTCTACAGAGGCACTTGCATAAACCACACCCCAGTTTGACACCGCTGGATGGTGGACCCCGGGAGCCTGCCACCAGGCGTGGGCTGCACTCTCCCAGTCAACAGGGAGAGGTAGGCCAGGAGGGGCGGGCCACTACAAAGTGGTCTCCGGCCTCTGCCTAGATTCCCCCAGGCAAGCCACCCTTCAAGAGATCATGCTCCTGGAGTCCTCCCCAGCACCAAGAAGGAGCATGAGGGCCAGGGTTCATGAGGCAATCACTCAGTACACAGGATGGATGATTGCCCTACATGGCCAGCCTTTCTCTCTGGTGGAGGATGTGAGCTTCCGGGTGTTTCTACAGTGTGTGGCCCCCGGTACACCATCCCCTCCACGAGGACCATGAGCCTGCGAGTGGTGCCCTCCGTGTATCACTCTGTGGTGCATCTGGTGAAAGCCAAGCTAGCCAAGGTGTGAGGGCGAACCGTCCCCCTGATGGTGGACCTTTAGAGCAGCCACCACCATGGCTACCTCTCTCTCACTGCACACTGGTGGCAACCAGAGAGGTTCCGGAGCAGGCTGGGGGCCATGCCCCAAGCGGGGACAGGCACGCTTCTGTCTGGCTACAAAGTGGTGCTCCTCCACACTCAGGGTATGGATGTGGAGCACACGGCAGTGAATATCGCCACAACCATTTGAAGTAGCCTGAGGGAGAGGAAAAGATCACTCGTGGCTATCATGGCGGCCCAAACATGCGTGAGGCCACTAAAGGATCCAAACTCACAAACATTGTTTGTGAGGCGCACGAGCTTCACCTCATGGTGAGGGATGCCCTGGGGCTGGGGAGCAATGTTGGGGGCGGGAAGGGCGCCGCCGAGGGCAGCTGGCGTTTGGCGGGGCACATCTAAAAAATCCTCAGGGCTTTGTGGCTGTTGAGAGAGAGGCAAGGTGAGGCAGACGAGACAGACCACATCCTCCACCAGGATGTCGGCACCCAGTGGAACTCCACCTATGCCATAATTGCCCATTTGGTGGAGCAGAAGAGCATCGTGCAGGACATCCTGTCCTCCGTGTCCATCCAGTGTGGGGAGGCCGAGCTGAGCATCAGCTCCAATGACAGGCTGACCCTCTCCAAGGTGGTGAGCATCCTGAAACCATTTCAGGATGCCACCACTGTGGCAATTTTGGCCCTCTAAAGTCATGCAGTTGCAAAGAGCACTGGACAGAACTGCTGACCACTGGGGATGACTGGGCTTCACATTACTTGCACCCAGCACAGCTGAATCCATAAGGCCAACTGTGGATATTACATTGACTTCAGTCTAGGAGCAGAATGAGATGTTCATGAGAACGACATGACTGCTGCCAGAAACAGCTCTGCATCTTTCCTCTCTCCACAGGTAATTTGTACTACAGCACATAGTGTGATATTACCTCACTCCAAGTTTCCCCATCCCTACAAGCTTCAGATTTTAAGTAAGTTTGGTGCAAGAACTTGGAGTATTATGCATTTTGTTTTACAAAACATTACTGGGCAGAACAGAAGAAGTGAAGAAAATGTAGGCGTGTTGCTATTGGTGGCAGCCATGCATTTCCAGTAACATCAGCTTGTGTATTTTTGTTCTCTACCACTTTCTTCCAAATTTCTTTTCATTTTTGGATCCCTCTGGTTTTCCTCCAATAGATTTAAAATTTTCTCTATAGTATCTTGGCTCCTCCAAGAGGGACAGCCTTGTATAGCAAGGTAAAATGTTACTTAACTGACACCCCCCCCCCCATAAAGTGGCTACAATCAGGCAAGGCTACTGAGTTTTTCAGTGATTTAGAATCATAAAGCTGAAAGGTACCTCCAGGGTCATCTAGTCCATCCTCCTGCACAAGCAGGAAATTCACAAATACCTCCCCCCCCCCAAACTTCCAGTGACTGGTGTTCCATGGCCAGAAGATGACAAAAAACCTCCAGGATCTCCAGCCAAACTGGCCTGGAGAAAAATTGCTTCCTGACCCCAAAGTGGCGATCAGCATTTCCCTGGGCATGTAAGAAAGGGTCACAAGAACTAAGCACTGATGCAACCCTTCCTGTCCTCCCTCTTGTGATCTGCCTAAGTTCACAGAATCAGCATTGCTGACAGAAAGGGTCACAAGAACTAAGCACTGATGCAACCCTTCCTGCCCTCCCTCTCATGATCTGCCTAAGTTTACAGAATCAGCATTGCTGACAGATGGCCATCTAGCTTCTGTTTGAAAACCTCCAAAGAAGGAGAGCCCACCACCTCCTGAGGAAACCTGTTCCACTGAGGAACCACTCTAACCATCAGGAAGTTCTTCCTAATGTTTAGCCAAAAACTCTTCTGATTTAATTTCAACCCGTTGGTTCTGGTCCGACCTTCTGGGGCAACAGAAAACAACTCTGCACCATCCTCTTCAAGTATCATATCACCTCTCAGTTATCTCCTCTCCAGGCTAAAGATACCCAGCTCCTTCAACCTTTCCTCATAGGACTTGGTCTCCAGACCCCTCACCATCTTTGTTGCCCTCCTCCGGACACGTTCCAGCTTGTCAATATTCTTCTTCAATTGTGGTGCCTTATGTTATGTTCCACAAGAAGTTGGATCTCCACTGGTGTTTTTACAGTTAGCACAAGAAAGGTGAGGAGTGATTGTGCCTAGTTCTACTCTTCACTGCAGGCTGTGCTATGTGGCTTTTGTCCACCCAAGTCTCAACTTTTCCAATTTTTCTTGAGCTAATGGGCAAGTGGCTCCAGTTGACTTCATTTTACATTTACAAAGTCTGTACTGAGATACAACATTACAAATAACCAGCAAGGTCTATGTCCATCCAGTGAAGGACCCCATAAGATTAAAGCCAAACAGACTGGAATTGGTAGCTCACCATCCAAAATGGCCCACTGTCCATCTATTTCAGTGTGTTTCAGGTATGAGTCTTCAATGGTTGGATCATAGTCTGGCACAAAAATCTTCTGGAAGAATTGAATAGTGAGGGCACTCTTCCCCACACCTCCATCCCCGACGACCACCAATTTATATGTTGGAAGATTTTCACTTGGGACAGCGCTTGTAGCCATGTCATCAATAGGACAAACCTGGAAAAGACAGAAAATTTTTATAAAAGCATATATTGACAACTGAATATAGACAAATAATCACTTCATTAGAAACAGAGGCAGACAGGGTAGCAAAAATAAAGTGATGTTTGCTTTATACAGGGCCACATAATGGAACAATTTCAAGTTATGTCTTTGTAATGTTAGCTGAAACTATCTTTACATCCATGGGAGCAGGGTAAGGGAACTGAGACAGAACAAAAATACTTTGCATGAAGACACTCACTGAACTCACGGACAAGCGAAATTTCAAGAAATTATTTTTCTGTTCATATTCTCAACCACCCCAATCAGGGGTCATTTTGTAGAAAAAGAGGTGCAGGAGCTCATTAGCATAACTTATCAGCATAACTTATCTGCATATGCCACGCCCCCTGACATCACCGGAAGTGTGTCAGAAGGCAACACCCACCGCTCAGGCTCCACTGGACTGTTTTGGATTGCTAGCTAATGTGTGTGTGTGTGGGGGAACGTGCAGATCTGTCCTCACAGAGGAGGGAGAGCTTGTACCTGAATAAAACTTGGCCTTAAAGGTGCCACTGGACTGTTTTGGACCAGGGGGCCGGGGTGGGGGTGGTGGTTCTGTAGTTTACCTGGCTGCTTCTTGCTCTGACTCAGGGCTGCTGGGAGCAGGGTGTGTGGCTTGTTGTATGTGCCCGCCCCCTGGGCTCTTTACTGCTGGAGCTCCGCTCCTGTGTGCTCCTGCAGGAAATGACCCCTGACCACAATACACCAGCTAACTAGGCCAGGATTCTTGACACTCATTCAAATGGTTGCCATATTTATGATAGCTACTGATTTGTTTTTCAACCTCTGGTGGTCTGTGCTGAATGAACCTGCACAGAAAGCTGTAGTTTAGTACACCATAGCATTTTTTTCTCTCATAGCCCATAAGCCAGAAGAAAAGCAACCATCACAAACACAGCAACTATGCAAACTGCTCCATGCTTGACAGTCACACAGTTTCCCTTCTCAACATCAGACACAACGGTCAGGATCCTCAGGTGCTTCTCTGATCATGCAATACTTGTGTGTAATTAGCTTGTCCAGCCTTGGGACAAAGAGTTGAATCCTTTCCCAAATCCACGTTCTATCTGAATATTCATGTAGTAATATGTTGTTGAAGGCTTTCACAGCTGGAATTCGCTGTAGATTTTCCGGGTTGTGTGGCCATGGTCTTGGCACTGGTAGAACCTGACGTTTCGCCAGTAGCTGTGACTGGCATCCTCAGAGGTATAACACAGAAAGATGGAGTACTCTCTGTGTCAAGGTGAGAAGAAAATGGTAGGCAGGTAATTTATATCTACTCCAGAAGGTGGGGTAGGGCTGAGTCATTATCTTGTAGGAGTTCCCCAGGCTATGAACATGCTAATGGAGACACTTTCCTGAGGAGGTTCTTTTGTATTTGGATTGTTTCCTGAGGAGGTTTCCTGTTTCCTGAGGAGGTTCTTTTGTATATGGATTGGCTGTTGAAATTCTAATCTTATCTGTAGTGCTATTGTCAGATGTAGAGCCTTTTGTGTTTTTCAGGACAGGAAACCATGCCCTATTTATGTGTAATAAGCTTGCACACAATCCATTCTAGAAATCCTAAAGAATTATGCGTCTTGGACGAGATTCAAATTTTAGGCAGTATGGGGATGTTGCTGCTGAAAATGGCAGCCTTACATCTTGCTCTCAATATCTAACAATACATAATGGGTGCGTTCAGACGGGACGTTTAGTCCGCTTTCGGCACGCTTCAGTAACGGATTTTATATCCACGTTCACACACCCAACATCTGTGCACCATCCCCAGCCATCGCTTTCCGGCTCAAACCCCCTTTAAAATGGAGTATTTTGTTACCAGGTCCACAAGTGGTGTTTTCCTGATTCTCCAATTCTAGCCGCACTTTTCTGACATCTGATCGTTTCTGCAATGTCGAGCCACTTCTGGTTTAAACCCCCTCCCCGCTCAAAAGCTGCCCGAGGCTTCCGCTTTTCGCCCACCATTTTTTTAATGCATTGGCAGTGCACGCATAGGCGGAGCTCCGCCACCGCGTTTAGAAAACCAACATTTAAACTGTCACTTGTTTTAGCATTTAGATGAGTTCAGGATCTCATGGAGGCCATTTCTGCGTCAAACATTTAAAGGGAAGTCTTTTGTTGGAGGGGTTGGATTGATTCACTGTGGTGGTTCTGCGCATGCGCCATGATAGTTCCCCCCTTCTATGGAGGCACGCCTATGCGCATGCGCAAACTGAGGACATTTTTTTAAAACCCCGCCGACACATGCTCCCGCACGTCAGTAGTGTAGACGCCGGGAAGCGACGTGACTGCGCGGTGAGGTGGGATAAGGGAGGTAACTGTGATCGTGATTATCCAGATCAAATGTAATCCGGTTAGAACCGGAGCACTTTAACCCACTCTCAGCACGCCGTCTGACTGCATCCAATATGTGATAAAATATTTTCATTGTCCCATGACTTAAAGCAGCAACAAATGAAGTGATGTGGGTTTGAGAAAAGTCACAACATGATGATATGTCATGTGTTTTACATTATCAGATGTTATTGGAGAGAAACAAGAAAAATAATACAGAGATACTGCTTTGGTGGCACTACACATCTGCTATACCTTCTAGTTCCAGTCTTACTGGATGTGGCTTACTATAAAAAGTAAAGTCAAAATGGGAATTATGGGAGCTGCGGTGGCTCAAGTGGTTAAGACACTGAACTGCAGGCTGTGGAAGATCAGTAGTTCAGCAGTTCAAGACCCGGGTGCCGCAAGACAGGGTGAGCTCCTGTCTCTAGTTCCAGCTCCTGCCAACCTAGCAGTTCGAAAGCAAGAAATTGCAAGTAGATAAATAGGTGCCACTTTGGTGGGAAGGTAACAGCGTTCCGTGCACCTTGGTGTTTAGTCATGCCGGCCACATGACCACGGAAACGTCTTCGGACAGCGCTGGCTCTTCGGCTTTGAAACGGAGATGAGCACCGCAACCCTAGAGTCGGATTCGACTGGCTTTCGAGCAAGGGAACCTTTACCTTTACCTTTTTACAGATACCAAAACTCTGTGGTATGTTTAACACTACAGGCAGCCATAAAACAGCAGTGACCCAAACAGATGCCATTTACACATAGTAACTTTAAGGCATTTAAGTTTGTCACCTGATTTTTTTACCCAAGCAGTATGGGAACTAACGATCTACAAGTGGAAGTCCCACAAAGACTGGAGGAGGCATCTCATTTCCCCTGTATTTCCCTTCCCAATATTTCCTCTTTTCCTTCCATGAGCTCTTTCCTGCTTCCTTTTCTCCTTCCTACCCGCCACCCCACTTTTCTCTGCCCCCATGTCTTCACCTTTCTCTCCTTCCTTACCTGTGGACAGCCTCTCCCCGGAAAAAGTCTGGCTGGGCTGCATAGCTACCAGTGACCAGACCTAGCTGTGTGCTGCTGGATGCCAGTGGGCTGGGACAAGCTGAGTTTTGTGGTGGCCTCTGCTGATGCGCCGGGCCATGTTGTGGGTACCGAGTCTTCAACAGTCATTGTAGGGTCTATCCCCAGTTACTCCTCCTCCATTGGTGCCATGACAACGGAGGGGAGAGGAGCTTTTCCAATGCTGTTTTGGCCTCCCAGTACACTCTATCACTCCCCTCCCCCGGCTTTGCTTTATGCACCCCAAAGCTTGGAAGGCTGTGGGGCCTAGCAACCTCCAACAGCTACTGAGAGTTCAGTAGGAAGAAGAAGAAGAGATTGGATTGATACCCCGCCCTTCACTACCCAAAGGTGTCTCAGAGCGGCTTACAAACTCCTTTCCTTTCCCCTCCCCACAACAGACACCCTGTGAGGTAGGTGGGGCTGAGAGAGCGCTTGACAGAAACTGCTCTTTTTCAAGGACAGCTCTTATCAGAACTACGGCTTGCCCAAGGTCATCCAGCCAGGTGCAAGTGGAGGAGTGGGGAATCAAACCCGGTTCTCCCAGATTAGAGTCCGCGCACTTCACCACAACACCAAACTGGCTTGGCCACAGACTCCCAAGTCCTCCTCTTCTCCCTCTCTGATTCATGATACCTATAATTGGATGCACAGTTCCATTGTGTGTGTGTGTTCAGTACCATACCTCACACTCAGAGAAGAAGAAGAAGAAGAAGAGATTGGATTTATACCCTGCCCTTCACTACCCAAAGGAATCTCAGAGCGGCTTACAAACTCCTTTCCCCTCCCCTCCCCACAACAGACACCCTGTGAGGTCGGTGGGGCTGAGAGAGCACTGACAGAAACTGCTCTTTTTCAAGAATGGCTCTTATCAGAACTATGGCTTGCCCAAGGTCATCCAGCCAGGTGCAAGCGGAGGAGTGGGGAATCAAACCCCGTTCTCCCAGATTAGGGTCCGCGCACTTAACCACTACACCAAACTGGCTACAGGTGTCCTGTTATTTTGGGAAGTTTTAACCCTCTGTGTTTTGGGTTTTTTTTTAAGATGTCAGATTTTCTTGCAACCCCGGGATTTCCTTTAAGATTATTCTGGCAACAGCCCCCCCCCCCAGGTTGCCAGTCTCCAGGTCTCAGTGGGGTTTCCCCCTCTTTTGGGAGCTTCTGCCCACTGCCGGCCAGCTGGCCAGTGGGGGAAACCCAACCCTCCAAACAGCCATGTCTGGGCGTGATGTCCCCGACGTGATGATGTCACCCAGAAGTGACATCCTCACATCAGGGCCGTTGCACATGACACTCTGGTTTCAGGGCAAAACTCTATGGTCTGAAACTGAGAGTGCCTTCGTGAAGAGCATGAGTGCCTCCTTGGAGAACATCTCCGGCTCAAGCTGCCATCTCACTGCTCAGATCCACGGCGGCTCCGGCTGCCCCCAGGCGGAGAGCCCACCCTACTCGTGAGGCGCAGAGATGGCAACTGGCCCCGGGGAGAGGGCGAGTGGCGCGGGCTGCGGTCTCGAGTTGGGCCTGACGTGGAGGTGCCAAAGCGGGAACCCCTTTTGGGAGCTACT